GAATATAACACGAATATAATGTGTACTACGCACGTTCAACGTACTCGTACGCGGCACAAGGGAGACGTCGGCGTACCAGGAGCGCAGGACCCGGACGTTGTCGCCGCGTCGGGCCGTCGACGGTAGCCGTCGCCGCCGCAGCGCACACCGAACCTCATGTTCTCCTGGTACTATTTAAAATTCTCGTTTCGATGCCGACCCCAGCCGAGATCGGCCCTAGAAAAAAAATGTTTTCTAACGTTAATAATTATTATTATTTTTTATTATTTTTACGAATGACGTCATTATATTATTGCGATGACGATTATCCGTATTTTAATTTCGAACCTATACAAACAATGTTTGTTTCTTTTTATCGCGGGCGTATAGAAGTTTGTCGCGTGAAAGAAACCTCAATTCAAGAGCTATGGTTATTATGAATTCAGTTATAAAAATCATCATGATACACATGTAATATAATATTAATAAACTACCATTAAGGACCATTCTTGCATAATTATTAACAACCTTTAAGACCTTTTACAGTTTTCCAACCGTATAATAATAATTCTAAACTCGATAAGAACGTGCATTGATCGTCTGTGGTCGACTAACGCATGTATCATTATCACCGTTCTATTTATATTCAGTATTACGATTTTGGTGCGGTCTCGGTAAACGAAGTATCAATATCATATTATTATTATTATTAGTTATTACTTATTGCTTATTACGTACTTATAATGGTATATTTTGAACAATGGACATACAATACAGCATATTATATTACATTATAATAATTAAATTAGTTCATTCGAAATTTGCCGCCCCAACACAAGTGCCGCCCTAGGCGGCTGCCTATTTCGCTACTACATTAAGGCGGCCCTGACGGCCCTGAAAACATTTTTAGAAAACGTGTAGCATACGTAAACTACGTGGCTACATTGTATAACGTATACAATAATGTAGTCGTACATACATAATATAAACGAAGAATATCACATGTTCTAACTTACTATAGGAACTCTAATATCATATTAAAATATAAAAAAAATACTACCATTCTAAGAGGCATACGAGGCCATACGGCCGTATACTCCCGTACCATCGTACATTTACAAAGTATACGCTAAAAAAAAATTACTAGAGATGTGGGTATACGCCGTATACCCCCATATACACCCCAATACATCACTGATACTTAGAGTCTCAAAACCTAGGAGAAAACGGAAAGTATTGCTTTTATTATTTTCGGTTTTGGCAACCTACTCCATCTACTCACCACGACTGACGTAACCTAATGCAGAAACTGCCGTTGCCGCCACACACCGCGCGACAGTATGTACCGATACGACGGCACATCGTCGTTGACCGTATGCACTCCTGGTACCCAAAAACATTTTACAGATGGCTCGGACGTTACCGACTTTATTGATTTTTGCCGCTCGCAGTTAAAATTCATTTTTATAGTATATGTTTTTTTATAATTTTCTAGATAATAAGTGTATCCACCGAAATGTAAGCGAATCTGTGACGTCACACGCAAAATTAGAAATCGCTGTATCTAGTGAACCTAGAATACAAACGAATTTTAGTGACACTAATATTTTTCGTCGTAATAAGTACAAAAAATTTCAACTATAGAAAATTGTTTAAATTGGATGGCACTTTTTTCAACTCATAGCAGCACAACGAAATATTACAAGCACTAATTTGATAGTGGTGTAATATTACATAATTGTTGTATTTATTATTATAATAAACCGAAATGTAATATATTTTTATGAATGGAAAGACTTTGTGGTACTCTCAAATATATTAGATGAGGTCGTTAGAAAAATAAAAAGTTAATTACCTTTACGTTAAACCGAAAAATGGGAATACTTCGCACGTGCTTGGTCCACGAGGGGAAATTTAATGTAAACGAAAAACGATTCTGAGCGTAGTTTGGTTAATAGTGTGGTTTTGTCAACAATATATGTGTTATGTAATGGTAAAATTACCGTAACGGTATATAATATGCTGTAATATACCTGTTTTTCCCATGTTTTTCCCAATATTTATTATGAAATCAGTTGGAAAATCAAAATATGACTACCCTTAAGTACCCACCTAGGTTAGATTTCCTTTCAGAAAAAGTATTATAATTGTAAATCTAAGCGAAATTACCGGTAGAAAATTTATTCACAATAAACCAAATAAATATCATTGTAAAAACGAAAAATTTCAATCAGAATCTAAATTATCATATTATAACCTTTCAAATTAATTTTGACCACGAGCACCGGAAAAAAAGCAGTGACAAGAGAAAATTTAGAATTATTTTGGAATTTTAGAAAAAAAAAATTGAATTAAACATACTTTACTGAAACCATTCTGTAAGTTTTGTGATTTTTTTTTCACATTTTTGTTTGGTTTTGCTCAACTATTAAGGAAACTAGACGCAATATTAAAAAACGACTCTTTTATTAACTAACTACATTCAAAACTCAACAAATATGTACTCTCGTCTTTTTTAATTATATCTATATTTTTTGTGAAAAACATAAAC